CATTTTTAAAAAATTACTTTAAAAACACACTCCATACACACTCTGAGGATGTATATTGTTTATTTACTGTCAGTAATTTATTTTACATAAGGCAATATTAATGGCTAGAACACCTGCAGATTATGTACAGAGAGCAATGTACAACTAAAGGAGACTTTAATCTATTAGTAAATCAAACCATTTTAAAATTATGACTTAAGACCTTTAGAAATAATTTATTGCCAACGCTAAACAAAGGCAAGAGGGAAAATTTACAAAATAGCAGATTCTCTTACTCCCTGGAAAGGTTCAAAAGTTATACATAAAAAAATGTAAAGCCACAAAAACAACCCACATTTATACAAAGGTTATACAATTTTGTTTTCATTGAAGATTCTGTGAGGTTGTTACAAAATATATGTTCTAGAGAAAGGCTTAATAGAACATAAGCTCTCACTGGTGCTGAAGGATGGGGAAGCAGATTTAAATAAGTGGCAATTATTTGCTTTCAAGTACAAGATAAGAAGACTGCAAATGGCACTACTATAATGCTGCATAACCCTTAAAAATCTTGTGTTAAGAGATGTCTGTGTTATGACACCAATAGAAAAAGGACAATTAAAAATCTGAATTCTGAACAGTTCACTTCAGCATATATGAAACTTAATCAGTGGCTCAAGAGAGAAAAATGCTGCAATTGCCTTGATACCTAGGGTTCCTAAGGTTTGTCTCAGTAATTTTAGAATAGAATATGGGTTTTTAAAAAAGCAAATTGAGACCATACTCATGAAGTTTTACTACCAACCTGTTAACCTCTGCCTTTACTCAATTATTCTGTATTTTTGGGCTCCTTTATACTGCTCCTCTTCAACAGTATGGTATTTATGAGGAAATCTAGGAGTGTGGTACCCGTAGTCCCATCATGCATTTGAGATATAACTCTTTAGAATGTACTTTGCCCAAATGAGGCATGAAGTTGTAGATCTCCATGCATCCATGCCTGCATACACAAGTTACCTTATTTTTTTAAGAAAACTGACTTTTAAAAATATTGCATTTTCTGAAAATATAAATGTAGGCAAGACCAGTTACTTTTTATGCCACTGAAATAAGATAAAAACTAAAATTAGCATTAAAAAAGATCACCTAATAGAATTTTTTTAAAAAAAATTATCTGACAAAACAGCCCTGTACTGAAATAATTGCATCTGAAAATATAAGATGTGACCAGTATTTCTACTTAGAATGTTCAGCATTCTTTGGGTGGATTTCTGTGGCAGACCAAACCAGACCCGTTAGCAAGATACTGTATTTAACAACTTCACTTTGTACTGCTATGGATTGTTAATGCTCTACAAGCCTTTCAGACTGCCAAAGAGCCAAAGAAAATAGGAAAACTTTGCCAGAATGTCTAGTGCTCCAGTGCAGATGAGCCATGGCACAGGACACTGCAATCACAACTGAATTTTGTATTATTTAAAAAACTACTAGGAACAAGCCTTTTTTCAAATTAAAAAAAAATTAAAACACAAAAGAGGCTTTCTCTTTCATTTTTGTTGATTACTTTGTTGAGAACTTCTTAAACATGAATGATTCGTATAGGAGATAGGAACACAAGAGTTTGATGTTTCTTCATTTTTTTCCTATTCTGTTTAACTTTTATTTCATCCTTTGTCAAACTGTCCAGGAATTTTTCATCCAATAGTGTAATGAGGGCTACTGTCTGCGGCCAATTAGAATGACAGTGGGGGACAAGGCAGGAAGTTTGACTCTATAAAAGGGCCTGTACTCAGTGAAGAATGATTTTTCTTACTTCAGTCACTCCTTGTGGATGTGTGAACTGGTGCTCTCTATCTTGGACTGTGCTGTCTACTTAGTGCCTCTATTCCTCCATCTTGCATCCATTTTTGGGGGAAATTTATTGCTGCTGCTGTCAGGCAGCTTGATGGTGCCAGTGTGCCTCACTGAGATTATTTTTTGGATCCCCATTACCCTGCTAATTTTGGGGGGGGGGAACCACACTGCCCCTTTGTTCCTTTCCTTAATTATTTTTGCTGCCTGTCTACTAGACTCAAAAATAGAAGAGCCGTGTGTGTGTGTGGAATTTCCCCATTTTCCAGTAGTTTTGCTTCTCTCTCTCTCTCTCTCTCTGTGCGTGTGCGTGCGTGTGTGCGCGCGTGCGTGCTGTGTGTGTGTGTGTGGGTGGGTGGGTGTGCGCGCGCTTGCTTCATTGTATATGTTGCCTTTATCTGCTTGCTTTTCTAGGTTTTTGGGAGAAGGTTGTATATCTGCTTGCTATTTTTTCCTTGTATGTGTGTGTATGTGGGTTTCCTGTTTGATTTCTAAAATTTGTTACTTCCTTAATTGACTGTTCCCCCTTTTTGTTAATGGTGTATAGTTTGGTTGGGGGGGGGGCTTTTGTTTCAGTATTATATAGGCCTGGGTGGAGGACTTTGTGACTGTTCTGGTTTGGCTGCCTGCTTAGGTTTCATTATATTTTTGCTTTCTCATGCTTTTGGAGTAGAGTGATATTCTATTGTCTTGTCTCTGCCTTGAGTAGTTTTTACAGGTTCCTTGAGGCTTTTGGACTAGTGCCAGAAACATGAATGGTAAAACACAAAGCAAAACGAGCCAAGAGGTGGCCCCTTTCATGTAAATGAAAGGGGCTGGGCATGAAAAATAGAAAAATGAAAGAGGTGCCCACTGAAAGAGCCCAAATTGGGGTGGGGGGGGGAGGAAAGTTTTGCTGTGCACGTGCCTATTGGGTACATCTTTCCTACAACTTCTTTCTTTTAACCAAAAGCATCCTTGGAAGGTTATGCAAAGAAATGAGTGTCAGGAAGTTTGCTGGACCTTTTTCTCTCTCTTTCAATTAACATTTCTGTCAGATATTGCTATCCCAAGATGGTGCAGAAGACTTACAGAGATACAGGGAAAATTCCTGAGGAGAAAAACTAAAATGTTCTCCACCCTTCCCAAATCACAGCTAGTTTTGATTTCAGAAATAATTAGAAAAATGCATGTATGAAACCATGGCACAGTTTGATACCTGTACTGATCATATACGTAAAACCACTGCAACATTTTCAGTTTTAGTCACAAAACACTGCCTTAACTTCTGTCCTTGTACAGTGAAAAAGTTGACATTTCTCCATTAAGTTCTGTGCCCCCTTTATAAATCTAAAAAAATCTGAATCAATTGAATCAGCTTTGGTTATCCTTAATTCTTCATAGAGATTTATATATATATCAGAATCCGTTGGCAGACAACAGGAGGGAATCTGATTAAAAATAGGTACTGTCCTTATCTATATACTACTTAGTAGACAAAGGTCTAGCAAAAAGCATTTTTAATTGCACAACATACACATTTTAATAAAATTCTGACAGAATTCGTGTGAGAAAAATGACACCTCACAATATGCATACTAGTTCACTTCAGAATATTCCAGGATTGGGTCATAATATTTATATGTTATAACTGGAATGTGTATGTGTGGAAGTGGAGCGGTCTCCCAGCCCCCAAAAAAGGCCACTATCATTCATGTAAGGCCACTGAAAGGAAAAAAATAAGAGGCACTTCAGGGCAAAAAATAATAATCATTAATTAACAACATTTACTGATGTTAGTCTACACCCACTGAAGAACTGAAACAGCTGAGCCTATTCTATTAAAGCACTCAATTGGCACAAGCTCCTAAGTTACCTGAATCTAATATGTGGTAAAATTTAGTTGTCCTTATAGCAATTTTGCTGACCCACCTCCTTCCCCAAAGACTACATAACAATAGCACTTAGTATGTGAAAGCAATAGTAATGCACTGCCTTTGGCCTGTGCAACAAAAAAGGGATGTTGTGATATTAATCTCTATTCATGTTAACCATTTACACATTAATGGCAGTACAGCATTAAAACAGGCTAAGTGCTAATCCCTCTTGTTGAAGTTTTCTTTAAAGAAGAGCATGATAAGGCCATGATAAAATTTACATATAAACTAGGATGTCTCAAGTAACTGGTAACATACAGGCTTTTAACCAATTCCTGAGAAGTCAAAGTATCACCAGCATTCTCAAAACTGAGATGAAAAACTATTAGTTAATAAATTTATTTACAGCAACTGTTTGCTTGCAAGGCTGAGTTGCTGAGGTGTGCAGCAACTGAGATAGAAGATGGCGACTCCTTTTTTCAGTTGCTTTTTATTTTTTGCAATATGCTGTTCTTGGGATATCATTCAACTGCTTTACTTTTTCGATTAACAAGTTTTGCCTTTTTGCCAATAGAATGGCCAGTACTATGTCATATACAGCTGTGTGCACTCTCAGAGTTGTCACACAACTTGAACAAGTTGCATCTGACATCTATAAACACTGTCACCATTTAGCCAAACATCATTTAGCTTGGATTCCTGCAATACCCAAACTAAAAGCTCTATGCTAACTGGAGAACATCCTTCAACAATGGCTTATTTCAGAGCAACTGACAGAAGCTTTCAAAAGCTGCAAGCAGCTGTGTACTTTAAGCCCATTTAGCTTCACATTCACATGATTTAGTCAAACCATACAATCTTTCAGTTGCCAATCCAGATCAGTCTGTACAGGATTCATTTTGATTAAAATTAGGAGTGGTAGTGGAACACAACTGTCTTCCTTTCTGGTACCATTTGTGAGCATCCACAATTGGCATGGAAGTGGAAACACATTTGTAAACTTCAAGTACAGCTTAATTACTGGACAGAGCAGAACTGTTTGCCATATACGCTGGGTGGTAGTGGTGGGTCAAGCTTAGAGAGCAGTCCAGAGTTATATCAGATCCCTTCTATAACCCCCTTCACATACCAAACTCTCTTAAAACTTAGCAAATTTCTAAAGTACAGGTAAATGGTTTCAACCACATGACTATATCTTACTAGATGTTAGAGGAGTACAGGCTTTATCAGTCTGAAAAGATCGAAGAGGTTAAAACTTGAAGTTAGCTTTTAAAAAAATCAGTCTTAAGAAATTAAAACCAATTCAATATGAGGTTACAATAGAAAAGATTTAAGTCTGAATTTCAACAGGAACTGGCAGTAACTTGAACAGCAGCAGCTTTTACCCATACATCCTGAGGTCTGACAAGACCAGTTTTTTCCTAACTCCTGCTGTAAACGGTTAACACAGTCTTTTTGCACATCACTGTAGCATGAGCTGTTTGAGATTGTCATGAAGGATGGTATCCTTTACATCACGAAACACAAGGCGGATATTTTCTGTATTAATTGCAGTGGTGAAATGGTGGTATAAAGGCTTCTGCTGCTGGTCCCGGCGTTTGGTACGAAAACAATCCACCAGGAATTTTTGGACGTCTGTTAAATTGTGAGGATCTCCTTCAAACTCTGGGAAGTAGTCCTTGATGCTCACTTTCTGTACTTTTTCTTCAAGCAAGTCTGTCTTATTTAGGAACAGAATGATGGAGACATTGCTGAAAACCCGGTTGTTTACTATAGTTTCAAAAATGTTCAGAGATTCTGTAAGGCGATTTGTTAGTCGATCCTCCATAAGTACCTGGTCAAATTCACTTGATGACACCAGGAACAGTATTGAAGTGACACTGTCAAAGCATTCAAACCAACGTTTTCGCTCTGACCTTTGGCCACCAACATCAACCATCTTGAACGGAACATTCTTAATCTCAAAATCGTACTCATGGATCCCTTTAGTAGGTCTTCTTGCCAAAAGAATATCTTGCTGGGAGGGAAGGTAATCCTAAGTAAGAAAGAACAATATTTGAGTTAATAATGTCACCAAGTATTACACCTTAAAATGAACAGCCACAGGACATGAAAAAAAGTTGCTCCTTCTTTATCTAAATGTTTTTAAAGCCTCAAACTGGGATGTGTATATTAAAAAGAAGCATAACATCAAAAATCAAAATGATGATTTTATCAAAATATTAAAACTCAATCAAATATCTTAAAATGATTCAATGTTAGTAATTAAAAAAATTCAGTAATAAACAAGTGTTTTTTTGTGAACGCAGAAAGTGAAACTAGTGGGGAAAGGGGAATTGTTTAGTTTAGCTCTTGTTCCATTCAAGCAGGCTGACAGGAAGTTGCTAACATCCTACAGTACTACCCATACAACAAGGATTATGTAGAGGGTGGATAAAGTGGATAGAGGGAAGCTTTTTTCCCTCTCACGCAATACCAGAACCATGGGATATCCACTAAAACTGAGTATTGAGTAAGAACAGACAAAATAAAACATTTATTTACCCAGAATCTTGTTAGTCTGTGGAACTTCCTGCCACAAGATGTGGTGATGGCATCTGGCCTAGATGCCTTTAAAAGGGGATTGGACAGATTCCTAGAGGAAAAGTCCATTGCAGGTTATAAGCCATGATGGGGGATGTATAATCTCCAGGTTTAAAAGGAAGTTATCTCAAAATACCAGATGTAGGGGACGGGTATCTAATTGTCTTGTGTGCTCCCAGAAGTATCTGGTGGGGCCACTGTGCGAGACAGGAAGCTGAACTAGATGGGCCCTTGGCCTGGTCTAGCTCGGCTCTTCTTATGTTCTTATGATTTAAATAGCACACCTTCAATATTTTAATAATAAAGAAAACCCTAATTCTTCATTATTCCCGATAGAGCTAAAAAGGTGGATCAAATTTAATTCTGTCACTTCAGATCTAAAGATGGAAAACCAAGCCACACTCTCCCAATGATTTTTCAGTATTCTGGGCTACATAAAAGTACCTCGCTGGGTACTTTTAAGAACCAACTAGAAACGTGGATGTATAGGCAGGCCTTCCCTTCCAGTTAATTCCTGTCCTCTTTCCTTTTTTTCTCTCTTTATTTGATTTATTTTGTACTTTTTCATTTGCAAAATCATTTAATTAATTGTTATAAATTTTTCTTGAACTTGTTATGTTTTATTTTGTAAGCCGCCTAGAGTGGTCGAAATGACTAGATAGGAGGGGTATAAATACAATAAATAATAATAATAACAATAATACGTAGTTTTGAAGGGCTCCTATCCTGTGAATGTCATCTAAGTTTAGAATATTCTTCAGGTACTAGTCCTGACAACTCTGCTTAACAATCAGGAAGATACAGAAATCTGCAGGCTTTGATTTTGGAATGTTCTGTAGGATTTTCTGTGCAAGCACAGAGCACCCAACTGTGGGAATAGATAGAAGACAAGACAAAGAAGTAACAAAGTTAACTTCTAATTTTTCAGCAGTCTTTTGGAACTTATGAACAATTCTATAATCCTGATGGGAACTGTGGCCCCATAAATGATAACAGCCTCAACCATAACACTGGGAATATGAAAAGATGATTTGCATACAAAAATTATCAATGTACAAAAAGGAATCTAACTTTTCCACTCTAACTAGTGAATCTCAGTGCTGACTGCAGTAAATGCTCTTGAGATGGATTTCAGGTTGAGCCTTAGTTGCTTAGAACAGCGGTCCCCAACCTTTTTGGGACCACGGACTGGCTGAGCCTCTGAGGAAGGCAGGACACCCCCCATGCTCTCTCTCTCTCTCTCTCTCTCAAACGCATACACGCTCTTGGGCGCATGCACGAAGTGGTGGGGGAATGCGCGTGCCAGTGGGAGCATTCTCCCACCTTCGCGCACGCACAGGACTACCTTCATGCCCCTGCCCACCCCTTTGCACAGGCGCTTGGGTGCATGCGTGAAGGGGTGGGGGAGGGCTCACACTGATGTTGGCATACATGCGCAAAGCAGCTGTGGGGAGGGGAGTGCGTGCAGGGGGGAGGTCTGTCTCCATGGCCCATCCAGCTCAGGCCATGGACTGGCACCGGGTCGTGGATTGTGGATTGACGACCTCTGGCTTAGAACATATTGGAATTCTACTTGCTTCAATGCTCTGAGCATAATTGCAGGGAAAAAGGATCCACAACATAACACTTAATTCCTCCTACAAGTATTAGGAAACCCACATCATATCCAAATGAATTTTCTACCCTTAACCTACAGACTGAACCAGAGATGGGAATATTCGTATTTTATACAAATATCCCCGTCGCAGCTCTCCTTAATGAGGGTCCTACCCTCAGGACTGTACTGTCCACTCATGCACCCCACTAGTCCTGCCAACTGCACCCAGAGCTCTGCTCTCTTCCTGCTTGGCTGGCCAATCAGCAGCCATATAGGGAGACTCATCCTCTTACCCCCTGCCTGAAATGGTCAGCCAGGCAGGGAGACTCGTCCTCCCGCCACCTGCCTGGAATGGCCAGCCAAGCAGGAAGAGAGCAGAACTCCGGGTGCCATTGGCAGGATGCATGAGTGGATGGTTTGGTCCTTGGGGTGAACACTCATCACGGCCATCTGTGGTGGGAATATTCATATACAAATATGAATATCTCCATCTAGACTGGACCTATACATCAATGGAAAGACATGGCTAATTTCTAATGAAGAAATATGCAGCCCTTAGACAATGGATGTATAAGTCTCTATTGTGTTTAGAAATCTAATCAAAGAACCTGTAACAAAAGTAGTCTTAGTGGTCAGCATACAGAAGGAAAAGAAATACTGAATACATTTAAGTATTTGGAGTTAGTATGGTATCTCTCAGGACTCAGGAGACCAGAGCTCAAATCCTTACTTGGCTGAGGCAACTCCCTTTGATATGGCAATGGTAAAACCACTCCTTAAATATCTCACATATCTTAAAAATCCTGTTTGGGTTGCCATAAATCAGATGCAACTTGATATCACATAAAAATATAGATTTCAGGATCCACTCTAATAGTATAGATAATCCATACCAGAAAGGGATGTCAACTGTATAAAGTTTTAGTTAAAACAAGAAGAATTTACATTACATATCTATAATGGCTAAATACGCAACTAAATATGCAATATATTCATGTTTTATTGTTCTGTTTCAACGTATGTAAAAAGACATATAATTTGACGGGAAGAGAAGAAATTGTCATGTACAAATTGTTTTCCAAAAAAGCAAATAATTTTGTAAACAAAATAAATAAATAACTGTGATATTGACTATCTACATACATAACTGTTGTCATGTCCCCACTTTTAATTTGCAAAATAAGGAAACCAACTTTCAAAAATTACTGCATTTTTCCATGTATAAGATATCCCCATGTATAACACCCCTCCACTTTTCTAACCCAACATTTCTTTCTTTGCAAGAAAGTGGAGGGGGAAGGGAGGGATCAAAGCGCTTTGATTCCTGCTTCCCCCCTCTACTTTTTTGCAAAGAAAACGGAGGGAGAAAGCTTTCATGTGAGGAAAGTGAAGGGGGAAAGCACTTTCCTCGCAAGAAAGTGAAGGGGGAAAGTAGGAATCGCTTTCTCCCTCCACTTTCTTTGCAAAAAGGTGCTTTCCACCTCCACTTTTTGAGAGGGGGAAAGCAGCTTTTTGCAAAGAAAGTAGAAGGGGAAAGCACTTTCAAGAAAGTGGAGAGGGGAAGAAGGAATTGCTTCCCCCCTCCATTTTCTTGCGAGGAAAGTGTTTTATCCTTCCACTTTCTTTGCAAAAAGCTGCTTTCCCCCTCCACTTTTTGCGAGGGGGAACTTTGCACTTTGATCCCTTCTCTCCGTCCTTACTATCATGTAGAAAACGACCCTCAATTTTTCCTCTAATTATTTTAGGGAAAAGTGTCATTTTATACACAGAAAAATATGGTAGGAGCCATACACAAAGGCAACTGAAATGCCCTTCCCAAAAATTATAGTGTTTTAATGAGCAAAATTAAAGAGTAAACTTACTGGCTCTCCAAGTTTATCCAAGTTATCCAGGAAATACTTGATTGATTCCCCCTAAAATTAAGTAAGAATACAGTTATTAATTTTTCAGTTATGCACTTATCTACACCAGCTTAATACAAAATTATTTTGAAATACAGCTGGTGCACAAATGCTGCACCTCAACTGTAAACAGTAAAAACAAGATGTTCATCAACTCAAGAGTCAAAATCTGTCTCAGAGTTAAACACAGTTCTTTCAAGGGGCCCACTACTCTTAACTGTATTGGACCATGGCCATCATTTACAGGCTCAGAGGCCTCGACAGTTTTTCAGTTCTGCTTACAAGGGATGTAAACAGAAGAAATTTCTTGAAGTCTAACAATCATTGTTGAATTTCTGCAAAATATTACACTCACCAGTTTAAACAATGGCATCAAGGAAGCTTAGTAAAAAGAAATTCATGCAAATTAAACCTGAATCAGTTTTTACTTCAATAAATGCAACTGGCTCTAGGCAGTAGCATACAGATGTCAACTTCCAAAAACCAAAATCATAAGAGAAGCAGATAGAATTTAACATTTATCAAACCCAACGCAACCTAGTGCAATGAAAAGTAGCTTCCATCCAGTCTGCAAATTTGTTCTGCTAATATTGTCAATTACTGATAGGAAAAAAAGGTATTTAAAGACGTTTATACCTTAAACCATATAGATCTGAGCTGAGCTTTTGTATGTGAGCTGTCGCACTAGCGCTTAAGCCTGAGTAAACATGTTGGAGAATGTGTGTATTTGGTAGGAAAACATTGAAAACAGCATGAATTATATCTAGTTCAATTCTCTTCGCTTTGCCCTGACTGCCATGCACCTGGCCTGCTGCTCATCACTAACCCCAATGACTATTGAAACGCTTCTCAAATTACAATTCATCCCTTAGACTAAAAGGCTTGACTAAAAAAGATTCGGAGGGGCTCACTGCATTGCAATTTTTTCCCCATGTAGAGACAACATGTTTCTCTTTTCCCTTTGGTCTAATATTTTTCAAACATATTTATTAAGTAACCAGTATGATTCAGTGATGGACTCTGGAGACCAGGGTTTGAATCCGTGCCCAGCCGTGGAAACCCACTAGGGGTGTGGAACTAGTAAAACCACTCCTTAAATATCTCACTTACCTTGATAGCCCAATACAGAGTTACTATAAGTCAGTTCCAACTTGAGAGCACATAACAACAAAAATATTGCTGTGTATTCTTCCTCCCTCTGAAGTGCATCTCTTCAGAATTCCAGTCAGTCATTCCCTCCAAATGGTGCATTTCTGTCCATAATTGCCAATTCACAATTTATGGTCATGAAATTTCTAAGAAGCATTCTAAGTTCTCAACTGGTTGTTTGAGACCTTCCCCATTCTATATGCTTTGGGGTTCTCCTGAGAATGTTGATAACACCCACATTTCAGGCTCTTGCCTTTCCATTGGATCATTTCAGCAACGTGGAGAGGGGGGATCTGCTGCTTGGGTAACAGCCTATCCTCCATATTACTCTACCCAGGCTTCATCCTCTGGAGGGGACACTCCTCAACTCAGAGCATATTACCATAGTCTTTCGAGACTGAAGGATGCCTATGATGAGAGAATGTTGATACCACCCACATTCATTTCTTTCAATAGTTTTCTTTATTATAGCTAAAATCTTATCTGCCTAATATTAATACAAAAACAGTCTGGTTTATAAACTCAATGTGTTTAGAAGAACATATTTAGATTCTGGCAATATGTAAAGACACAATTTAATTCAGTGAATTCAGGTATGAAAAACTGCTTCATTAACAGGCTGAAGGACCTGGGAATCAGTATCTCAGATATAGAATTCATTATTATCCAACATTACATATTGTGTTTTTATTGATACTTTATTTATTTATTTATTTTTTATTCTAATCTGGTTTTTAAACTCAATGTGTTTAGAAGAGCATATTTAGATTCTGGCAATATGTAAAGACACAATTTAATTCAGTGAATTCAGGTATGAAAAACTGCTTCATTAACAGGCTGAAGGACCTGGAAATCAGTATCTCAGATATAGAATTCATTATTATCCAACATTACATATTGTGTTTTTTAGTTGATACTTTATTTATTTTTTATTCTATTTATATCCTGCCTATCTGGTCTTGCGACCACCTGCGATACTACAGTAACCGTAAAAAATCTCTTTCCAAAATGACCAAGAAAAGGCCTATTGTAGCACCAGAAAACCATTTATAGAATGCATATGTAAAACCAAGTAGGCAAGAGTGAACATGACTAATGCTGACATGCTTCTAATCTATCTATATTTGTGTGCTTTAAGCATATTAAAATAAAGCAGTAATCTTGTGGTAGCACATCATACCTTCTGGATTTAAATTAGAAGACTGAGCATACACTTGTAATTATGCAAAATTGATCTCTAAGATGGAAAACCTCTGACCTTAACACAATTGCAGAGACAAAAGGCTCAGGTCTGAAACTGTGTATAATAAGTGTTTGATATGTAATGGGTCTGAAAAATATAACTGTAGTAATCTGTTGTAGCAATACAAAAGCATTCAAGGGTACTGTTAAGGACTAACAGATTCACTGGCTGAAATCCTGTTGCTTAGCACAATAAGTCACAACTAGATCAGGCCAACTAAATGAGTGGGGATTTAGTGAGTCAAGTCCTTCATAAGTGTCACTGATTCAAATGGGCCTATGCTAGTTGCAATTTACTAAAGTAAGTTGCAACAAGAGTAGAACTGAATCACTAAATCCCAACTGATTTAACTGGCCTACTCTGGTGCAATTTACAACACTGAGCAACATCATTTGAGGCAACGTGGCATATAAGTGCATTTTATCAGTGTACTTTCCCCAATAGCAGATCTCACAATGAGAGATCAGGTGGACATAATATGGGTTCAGCTCCCTGGGGCCGGACTGTCCACTCACCCATCCGCTGCTGCAGCTGGCTCCACACTCCCTTCTAATTGCTCCCAGATGTTACAATACCCCAGATGTTACAATGATAACATCTGGGGACCAAAGGTTGGGAACTGCTGATCTAGTAGATAGCATGACTACCGCCATATTGTAAAATTAAACACCATTAAAGTTCTGTAACTTTATGGTTACAAACAAAAGCTTGCAAGTATGTAGTTCACAGCCAAATGACTGTAATCAATACTGAGTTTAATTAAGTCTTCTAGAACAGAGGTGTCAAACTCAATTTCATCTTGGGCTGCATCTGCATTATGGCTGCCCTCAAAGGGCTGGTTGTAAGACTATATAAATGTAAGAACAGGAGTGGGCAATAGCAAGGACTACATTTCTCAAGGTGCTGTATGCTGCCCAAGCGGCTGCACTTTCTGACTCTTTGCTGCTTGGAATGCTGGGATCAGACGTCCTGCTGGGTGCCCAGCATCCTTGTGGAGCATCATGGATAACCAAGTAAGTACCTGCGTATTGTATACTGCATAGTAGCAGACAACACTGTGAGGGTCCCACATGAAATGGCCCATTGGCCCAGATTCGGCCCATGGGCCTTGAGTCTGACACGTGTTTTAGAAGAAGGTAGAACTACTTGATTTTTCATCCCTACACATCAACACAAATAGCTCTCCAAATCCAATACAAACATTAAATGCTTGCTAAAATGCCTCTCAATACTTAGTTAAAATACGTTTGTGAACTGGTCTAGTGTACTTTCTTTCAAAGCTAGAGGAAAAGTCAGTACTTGAGTTGTCACTGATATTAAGTTGATATCCAGACCATGGTTATGCTCACCATGAAAAGGTTTGACTGCATTGCATTTCATCTGCACCTTTTGAAGAGGAAGAAGTCAACCACTCCGTAATTTGCTGAGGTCACAAAGATATTTGTGGTGAAAGAGGGAGTTGAGCTGAGGTTTCTTACAACCAAGGATACCATTAAATGCTGAATTTTAAAACCACATGGCAAACCATGTTCTACAATATAAAAAACTGAACAATTTGGACAAATATTTGCCATCCATTTGGTAGGAAGCCAAAAAAACTTCCTCAAATTCATGTAAGGAGTGAGATTATATGGACTACATAGAAGATTTGAATTTTAAATTGCCATGACATGTTTTTGTGAAGAAAGGTTGTTAGATTTCTAACTGCTCTAATCCTGTAGTTCACAATAAGATACATTTATATATTTATTACCAGTTTCAGCGTAATTAAGGTTCACAGAGCAGCTACTCAGATTCATGAAATCTGGTGCTATGTACCATGAAATCTCAAACACTTTCTCATACACAAATGCACTACCACTTCCTGCAGTTTCCACAGCTGAAAACAAACTCCAGAGTGCTTTATACTGAATTGCTTTGTTTATTTACTGTAATTCATATAGATTTATTGTATTTTAAATGTCTGTTTATAGGACTTAATTTGTTGGAAGGACAGTCTTATCCAGACTCTTCAAAATGTAGACTGTGACAACTCTTAAGCTATTCAACTGTTTGCAGTGGAAGACATAAATCATGCCTGGCTCTCAGTTCAATGTACACATGTTACTTCTTATAATCAAGATAAATTGAACACCTGGGGAATTGAAAATATGTGTTTTGTTATCTTTTTCTTGTAAGAAGGGTACAAAACATAATCAGAGCTCCTCAGCTACTAAAAAGCTAAGCACATAAAACATGACATTCCAAGAAATCTACTGTTCTGCTGTTTTTTTACTGTTTACATGTCTTTTTGCTACTTAAAGTAGCTGTATGCTTCCACTGAATACATTAGACATTCAAAGGGCCTGACTCCAGTCTTTACTAAAATTCACTGTTTGTTTATCAAATATACGATAAAGTTTTAAAATCTGAATTGAAAAAGTAAAGGCAGTTCAATACATGGGATGGTTTTGTGCCTGGCTTCTCTCTCTCCCTCTCTGTTCACTTTGCACACAAACACACATTCAACATCTCCCCACTACTTTTTTTGAAACTGGCTAGAAGCCTTATCCAATCTAACAGCAGCTACACTTCAACAAGAACCACTCATAAGACTGAAATCAGACAAAGGTCAACAGTA